ACTGAAGCTATTCTGGGAGATTTATTTTTTTCAACATGACATAATGTATTTTCTTAAAATATCCTATTAAAATCTCTTGGATTGTTTTCACCATTAGATTGATGCTGATTCTGGGAGACTCCAGGCCAGTCCTGGAGGGCTGGCAACCCTATCTTTTGCTTCTTGTGTCATGGACTTAAAAAGGGAGCCCTTTCTCTTGGAGCTTCAGTACCTAGCAGTGGGGAATATGTACAAGATCGCCTTGAGTGAGAAATGACAGACAAGAAAAGCCTATTGTATAAAAGAAAGAGGGATAATTTCCTATTCTAATGTGGCACTATACTCACAAATGCTGCTGAATTATTTTAAAACAAACAACATGCATTGAATCGTTCCCTTTTATGCAGGTGCACTTTTGGCCATGAGTGATACCCAGATGATGAACGAATAATCAAGCTGTGATGAGGTACAACAAAGGGTGTGTGATTCTAATGAAATAAACCCTTCCCATGGGTTTTTAAAGCATCAGCTGCAGATGAGGCCCCCAGTCAATCAGACGTGTGATTGCATCATGTAAACGACACCCTCTAGACTTGCCTTATTTGCTCTTATGAAATTCCTGTCAGTTTTTGCAATAAATAATTCAGGTAAATGGCTCTGGTCACTGCAAGCTGCCAATTATTACAATGCCACCACTCGCCATCACTCATTACCATTGTGTCAGCTATGCTATTACAAGTCTTCCCACTTCCAGATGAGGAAAAGGTTACGCAGATTTTAGCTTGGGGGTAGGGGGAACACTTATTTTCAAAATTTCCCCAAAATAAATGAATTAATGAATTTAATTGAAATAAATAAATTGGTTTGGGTCTCTTAAATTTATAGAAATTTTAAAATATCTGGAAGTCTATAACTGAAGATGCTTTTTATGGGCCCAATCCTCAGGCATAAATCGACAACTGAAGCCAATTGAGTTATGCCAGTTTATACCAGCTGAGGATCTTTCTATGCTTCTGTGGAGCAAGTGTTCACATTTTAATGAGATAAAATTAATTTTGGCTTCTGGTTGTTCTTATTATTATTAATTTGTATTGTGGTACCCACCTAGGAGCACTAGATCAGGCACTGTGTAGACACAGAACAAAAAGACTTGTCCCTGCCCCAGTGAGGTTACAATGTATGGAGATGACCTATTTATCTAAAATGGGTACTTATGTGGACCCCATCACTATAGTGTCTGAGCAGCTCACACTCTTTAATGTTTTTACCCTCACAACACCCCTGTGAGGTAGGGAATATTATTATCCTCATTTTACAAATGGAAACTGAGGCACAGAGAAGATAAATGACCTACCAAAGGTCATGCAAGGCAGTCTGTGGCCAAGCAAGTTCTTGAACCCAGCTCTCCCAGCTAGAGCCCTAATGACTGTGCAACCCTTACTCTCAAAGGTATTATGGCATAAGCCACATCTGATATTTTGTATTTTAATCTTTGATTTTCAGAGAATGATAAATGCTCTTTGGACACTGGGGGGCTCACGGAAATTGCCTGCTTTAACTCAGAAGTGAAATGATCTGGCATTTCCATTTTAAAGGAACTCATCCAACAAGAACGTGTAGATTAAATGAAAGCAGACAGTGGCTAGAAGAGCTGTATTTTGGGAGTGAACATGGTGGTTTTGCCTGAAGACTAAAGTCAGCTTGGATAGACCTAAAAGATGCATGACATGTTGCTAAGTCATGTTGCTGACATTGAGCTAGTCCCCCTGCCACAAGCAGTGAGCATAAACTGTGGCATTAGTGCAGTTTCACCAGTTTGATATACAGCTCATTTCATGATATACTACCTCTCTCACTTTCTCTCTCTCTCTTCCCCACTACATGCATTCTGACATTGAGACAAGCTTTTAAAATAATAATCAGTAAGCATTTCTTTTAAGACTCTCTTGTCTCTCACACACACCGCTGGCAGCTTAAAGTGTTGATCTTTATGGAAAAGTTCAGTGTAAATTATTGGCTTTAATAAACCTTATCGGATCAAGTGTACAGTTTCTGTTATTAAAACACCTGGGTACAATAATCCTGATACTTTGTTTCACTTTGTGTGCCTTCGTGGACAAGAAAGAGTTCTGGGCTCTGAATTAGTCATTGACCTTTGTTCAGTAGCTTGAATGGCTATTCTTTGGTGATTAAATGATGCTTCACAGACTACTCAGCCAGAGCCAGTCAATAAGCTATTAGTGCCATCGTCACTATTGTGTCACAGCTCAGACCTGAATAGTGTGATTAGTTCTATTATCAAAGCCTTAGCAACCCCATGGTAAAAGCACACTCAGTGGTTTTGAAAAACTTACACAGTATTCAAAAGAATCATGGAGCCTTCCCAGTGTCCAATATGTAGAAATCTAGCAAACTTGCCCCACCGGTTCAAGCCTTTAGGTTTTACATCTGTTGGATGAACTGTACATTGAAATCAATACGTCCATGCAGGGTGGGGAAGGGAGGAGAGATTGTAGTGGGGCAAGAAGGTCACTTTGCTAGGAAAAGCAAAATTGTGGAGTGACTGATCCCCGGGCAGAGTGATGAAAGAGAACAACAAAGGTCTTTGCAGTACTGATTTGTCCCATGCTGGTGGAAGCATGGTTGGTTATTAGCAGAATATTGCTGTGAAGTGGCCTTGTGGCCCCCTGTATTAGTGTTTTGTCGAAGGATTAATGATGTGGTACAGGAAGATGAGTGGAATGAAGGGACTGTAAAATATTGCCATTCACTTGGTTGTATACTCATCCATAGTCCATCTGCTATCTTCAGTTTGATTACTGCTTTTAACAATACAATAGCCATTAGAACTGTAAAGCTAAAACATAAAAAGATACCAGAATTTGTGTTACAAGGTGGGCATCCTCACTGAGAAAGAACCTTCTAGGTTTCTTCAAACTAGTAGTTTCTTTGTCAGAACATTCTCATTTTCTGTGTCATTGTGAAATACAAACTGTGCTTGCAAACTCAGTGAGTTCCTCTCCAGTGACTTCTCTGGCAATGCCCTTAGCAATAAGCTACACTATGTCTCATGTAAGACAACTTTAAACTAAGACTCCTGAGGGAAAAAAAGAACTCGGCTAACGTGTATTGCTTTATGGATTTGAAATACTGGAGAGTCACGTAAGGAATCTCTTATGTCTACACTACAAAATTAGGTTGAATTTATAGAAGTCTGTTTTTTAGAAATCATAGAAGGTTAGGGTTGGAAGGGACCTCAGGAGGTCATCTAGTCCAACCCCCTGCTTGAAGCAGGACCAATCCCTAATTTTTGCCCCGGATCCCTAAATGGCCCCCTCAAGGATTGAACTCACAACCCTGGGTTTAGCAGGCCAATGCTCAAATCACTGAGCTATCCCTCCCCCCCAAATCGTTTTTATATAGTCAATTGTGTGTGACCCAAACACAAAATGCTCTAAGTGCATTAAGTGTATTAACTCAGCGGAGTGCTTCCACAGTACCGAGGCTAATGTCGACTTCCAGAGTGTTGCACTATGGGTAGCTATCCCACAGTTCCCACAGTCTCCGCTGCCCATTGGAATTCTGGGTTGAGATCCCAATGCCTGATGGGGCAAAAAACATTGTCGCGGTTGGTTCTGGGTACATATCATCAGGCCCTCCCTCCCTCTGTGAAAGCAATGGCAGATAATCATTTTGCGCCTTTTTTCCTGAGTTACTTGTGCAGACACCATACCACGGCAAGCATGGAGCCCGCTCAGCTCACTGTCACCGTATGTCTCCTGTGTGCTAGCAGACATGGTACTGCATTTCTACAAAGCAACAGCAACCCATTGCCTTGTGGCAGCAGATGGTGTCATAGGCCTGAAAACCATCCTCATCGTATCCGAGGTACTCCAGGCCACCTCGGTAAGGTCGGTCAGGAACGCCTGGGCAGACATGGATGCAGGGACTAAATTAGGAGTGACTCGACCAGGTCATTCTCTTTAGTCCTGCAGGCAGTCCTATTGTACCATCTTACGGTGAGCAGGCAGGAGATGAGGATGGCTAGCAATCCTATTGCACCATCTTCTGCCAAGCAGCCAGGAGATGTGGATGGCTTGCAGTCCTGCTGCACCATCTGCTGCCAGCCAAAGATGTAAAAGATAGATGGAGTGGATCAAAACAAGAAATAGACCAGAATTGTTTTGTATTCATTTGCTCCCCGCTCCCTCCCTCCCTCCATGAAATCAACTGCCGACAATTGTTTCGGTGAGGTCTGTCAGGGGCACCTTGAAAACTTTAATGGAGATTCAGTCCTGCTTGAAATACCAGAGGGAGGGATAGCTTAGTGGGTTGAGCATTGGCCTGCTAAACCCAGGGTTTTGAGTTCAGTCCTTGAGGGGGCCATTCTGTGTGACAGTTGTTTTTGTTTCTCCTTGATGTAAAGCCACTTACTTTGTTGATTTTAATTCCCTGTAAGCCAACCCTGTGAGTCTTGTCATCAGTCGCCCCTCCCTCCGTCAGAGCAATGGCAGACAATCGTTCCGCGCCTTTTTTCTGTGCAGACGCCATACTACGGCAAGCATGGAGCCCGCTCAGATCACTTTGGCAATTAGGAGCACATTAAACAACACACACATTATCCAGCAGTATATGCAGCACCAGAACCTGGCAAAATAAAACCAGGCAAGTAGGCAACATCAGCGCGGTGACAAGAGTGATGAGGACATGGACACAGACTTCTCTCAAAGCACGGACCCTGGCAATGCGGGCATCCTGGTGCTAATGGGGCAGGTTCATGCGGTGGAACGCCGATTCTGGGCCCAGGAAACAAGCACAGACTGGTGGGACCGCATAGTGTTGCAGGTCTGGGACATTCAGAGGTGCCAGTTCCTGCTGGGCTGTTTACCTGTGGCTGAACAGAAAGCACATGTGCTATGTATGTAATGTTAACAGCAAGGTTTACCGTGAAAGAGTGTACCCATTGTTCTATAAAATCTGTCTTTTTAAATACCACTGTCCCTTTTTTTTTCCTCCACCAGCTGCATGTGTTTCAAGGATCACAGGATCTTCTCCTTCCCAGAGGCTAGTGAAGATTAGAAGGTGAAAAAAAACGCACTCGCGATGAAATGTTCTCTGAGCTCATGTTGTCCTCCCACACTGACAGAGCACAGACGAATGCGTGGAGGCAGACAATGTCAGAGTGCAGAAAAGCACAAAATGACCGGGAGGAGAGGTGGCGGGCTGAAGAGAGTAAGTGACGGGCTGAAGAGAGGGCTGAAGCTGAAAGGTGGCGGCAGCATGATGAGAGGAGGCAGGATTCAATGCTGAGGCTGCTGGAGGATCAAACTAATGTGCTCCAGCATATGGTTGAGCTGCAGGAAAGGCAGCTGGAGCACAGACCGCCGCGACAGCCCCTCTGTAACAAACTGCCCTCCTCCCCAAGTTCCATAGCTTCCTCACCCAGACGCTCAAGAACGCGGTGGGGGGGCCTCCGGCCACCCAGCCACTCCACCCCAGAGGATTGCCCAAGCAACAGAAGGCTGGCATTCAATAAATTTTAAAGTTTTAAACTTTTAAAGTGCTGTGTGGCCTTGTCCTTCCCTCCTCCACCACTTCTCCCAGTGCTTCTCTCTTCCACCACCCTCCCAGGCTACCTTGGCAGTTATCCCCCTATTTGTGTGATGAATGAATAAAGAATGCATGAATGTGAAGCAACAATGACTTTATTGCCTCTGCAAGTGGTGATCGAAGGGAGGAGGGGAGGACGGTTAGCTTACAGGGAAGTAGAGTGAACCAAGGGGCGGGGGGTTTCATCAAGGAGAAACAAATAGAACTTTCACACCGTAGCCTGGCCAGTCATGAAACTAGTTTTCAAAGCTTCTCTGATGCGCACCACTCGCTCCTGTGCTCTTCTAACAGCCCTGGTGTCTGGCTGCGCGTAACCAGCGGCCTGGCGATTTGCCTCAACCTCCCACCCCACCATAAACGTCTCCCCCTTACTCTCACAGATATTGAGGAGCGCACAGCAAGCAGTAGTAACAGTGGGAATATTGGTTTCGCTGAGGTCTAAGCGAGTCAGTAAACTGCGCCAGCGTGCCTTTAAACATCCAAATGCACATTCTACCACCATTCTGCACTTGCTCAGCCTGTTGTTGAACAGCTCCTGACTACTGTCCAGGCTGCCTGTGTATGGCTTCATGAGCCATGGCATTAAGGGGTAAGCTGGGTCTCCAAGGATAACTACAGGTATTTCAACATCCGCAACGCTTATTTTCTGGTCTGGGAATAAAGTCCCTTCCTTCAGCTTTTGAAACAGACCAGAGTTCCTGAAGATGCGAGGGTCATGTATCTTTCCCGGTCATCCCACGTTGATGTTGGTGAAATGTCCCTTATGATCCACCAGAGCTTGCAGCACTATTGAAAAGTACTCCTTGCGGTTTATGTACTCGCTGGCTTGGTGCTCTTGCCGGTGCTTGCTGCCAAGATAGGGATATGGGTTCCAGCTATGGCCCCACCACAGTTACGGAATCCCATTGCAGCAGAGCCATCCACTATGACCTGCACATTTCCAAGGGTCACTACCCTTGATATCAGCAGATCTTTGATTGCGCTGGCTACTTGCATCACAGCAGCCCCCACAGTCAATTTGCCCACTCCAAATTGATTCCCGACTAACCGGTAGCTGTCTGGCGTTGCAAGCTTCCACAGGGCTATTCCCACTCACTTCTCAACTGTGAGGGCTGCTCTCATCTTGGTATTCATGTGCTTCAGGGCAGGGGAAAGCAAGTCACAAAGTTCCATAAAAGTGCCCTTACACATGCAAAAGTTTCGGAGCCACTGAGAATCGTCCCAGAACTGGCACCTCTGAATGTCCCCTTAAGAAAAGCACCCTATTTCAACCAGGTGACCATGAATGATATCACTCTCCTGAGGATAACACAGAGAGATAAAGAATGGATGTTGTTTGAATGCCAGCAAACATACACTTCAATGCTTTGTTCTACAATGATTCCTGTGTACGTGCTACTGGCCTGGAGTGGTAAAGTGTCCTACCATGGTGGACAGAATAAGGCTGCCCTCCACAGAAACCTTTTGCAGAGGCTTTGGGAGTACATCCAGGAGAGCCGCGAATGCCAGGACAAATTAATCATTAAACATGCTTGCTTTTAAACCATGTATACTGTTTTAAAAGGAACACTCACCAGAGGTCCCTTCTCCGCCTGGCGGGTCTGGAAGGCAGCCTTGGGTGGGTTTGGGGAGTACTGGCTCCAGGTCCAGGGTGAGAAACAGTTCCTGGCTGTCAGGAAAACCAGTTTCTCCGCTTGCTTGCTGTGAGCTATCTACAACTTCATCATCATCATCTTCCTCATCCGCAAAACCTGATTCCATGTTGCCTCCATCTCCATTGAAGGAGTCAAACAACACGGCTAGGATAGTGGTGGCTGAACCCCTAAAATGGCATGCAGCTCATCATAGAAGCGGCATGTTTGGGGCTCTGACCCGGAGCGGCCGTGTGCCTCTCTGGTTTTCTGGTAGGCTTGCCTCAGCTCCTTAAGTTTCACGCGGCACTGCTTTGGGTCCCTGTTATGTCCTCTGTCCTTCATGCCCTGGGAGATTTTGACAAATGTTTTGGCATTTTGAAAACTGGAATGGAGTTCTGATAGCACGGATTCCTCTCCCCATACAGTGATCAGATCCTGTACCTCCCGTTCGGTCCATGCTGGAGCTCTTTTGCGATTCTGGGACTCCATCATGGTCACCTCTGCTGATGAGCTCTGCATGGTCACCTCTGCTGATGAGCTCTGCACTCACCAGCAGCTTGCCATGCTGGCCAAACAGGAAATTGAAATTCAAAAGTTCGCGGGCCTTTTCCTGTCTACCTGGCCAGTGCATCTGAGTTGAGAGTGCTGTCCAAAGCGGTCACAATGGAGCACTCTGGGATAGCTCCCGGAGGCCAATTCCGTCTAATTGCGTCCACAGTACCCCAAATTTGACCTGGCAAGGCTGATTTCAGCGTTAATCCCTTGTCGGGGGTGGAGTAAGGAAATCGATTTTAAGAGCCCTTTAAGTCGAAAAAAAGGGCTTTGTCGTGTGGATGGGTGCAGGATTAAATCGATTTAACACTGCTAAATTCAACCTCAACTCTTAGTGTTGAGAGTTTTTGAGAACAGGATGTGGTCGTGATGTTTGAATTATGCTGGGTTGTTGTTGTTGTTTCCTTTATAGTTTTACTTTCATTTCAGTAGCTGACAGTCTGACAGGACAGTTTTGACAGGGAAGCTGTCCATAAAAATTGTGAAGAAAGGACATTTACCTTGCGGACAGTGAGTGCAGTTATTTTTTTATATGTGTGATTAAGCATACCTGCTACATGGGCTAAAAGTCTTTGGGATTGCCATTTTCTTCTAATTTAATTGGTTGTCATGGCCTACTGTGCGTGTGCCCACGTGTTCATGTTCAGACACCTTGAATCTTAAGAGAATGAAACAATATATTAATGCACCCATCAGAAACATCAGTTTTGCCACCAAACCAGCTGATATATAATAATTGTAAACTTTGCTATATTAAAAAACATTGATTTTTACTTTTAAAGCTGATTTCCTAGCAAAAACTTCATCACTTTGATCCACAGGACCTTGACTACAGTACATGGCTCATGAATCCAGCTATATTTCCTCCAGACAAAAAGGTCTATTGTTATTTCTTTTGAATCAGTTGTTAGTAAAAATATGGAATTCAAAAATACAATGTTGTGTTTTTTTATCCAATTCACTAATCATATGATTTATCATCCAAACGAACATACGGAAGTATGCCACTAAAGAATATGTACTTCCCTCGATCTTTTTATAAAATTCTCATTGGCATCAGTGTTCCGATGTGTCTTTTTCTCATCGTTCCATTCTTGAACAAATGCATGGGTTTTTTTTCATCATAACACTGAAACAAAGAACTATGATGAAAAAGAAAGTAAAGCATAGAGGAAGAAAGGCCTTGTCAGAAGGCAGTTTAACATAAAGAAGAAAAACATTGAGAGGGATTTGCAGCTACACTGGCACTTCAGTGGAAAGGATGGTACAGAGCAAAATGTACGGTTTCCCAGTCCCACCCATCCACTGCACAATCGCTCAGCCTTCTACAGTATGCAAACCTTTGTTCTCTCAATGAGAATGGGGTCAAAGCAATGTCATTTCAGAAAATGGCCAGTATTGAACTGTCTGTTCCTGATAGAATCAAGGTGATTTGGAATCTGTCTGGGCTTGATTCAGCTATCAATAAATATGTTGCCATCTGCACATCTAATTTAGAAACTAAGTCCTTATAATACTGCAATAAAATTTCTGCATCCAGGTTATAACCAGACATGCCAAACCCACAACAACAACAACAACAAAACACAAAAAAACAAACAGAAATTGGGCTTGTTTTTGGCTTAATTGGCTTGTGAGTCGCTTGTTAGCTAGTTTTTGGCTTGTAGTTTGTTGCTTATTTGGCTTGTTGCTTGTTGTAACTTTTGCTTCTTTTTTTTGATCGGCTCCCGGCAAGCAGGGGTAAGGCGGGGAGAGAGTCAGGGGTGCACAGAGGGCCCACCACAGTCGCAGACTGCACGCCGGGGGGATCTGGAGTGTTGGGGTTCTTGGGGATTGACTTGTTTTGGCCTTGTTTTGAAATGGGATTAGCTTGATTTTTGGCTTATTGTAAAAGTTGGGGTGTTTATTTACCAAGTGAAAGTTGGCAACTGTGGTTATAACTGGCAGTGGCCCTTCAGTTTAAAATAAATAAATAAACAAAATCTGAAGAAGGGTTGCATGTCAAGGTTCCTCCCCCACTCTGAACTCTAGGGTACAGATGTGGGGACCTGCATGAAAAAACCCCCTAAGCTTATCTTTACCAGCTTAGGTCAAAACTTCCCCAAGGTACAAAATATTACACCCATTATCCTTGGAATGGCCGCTACCACCACCAAACTAATACTGGTTACTGGGGAAGAGCTGTTTGGACGCGTCTTTCCCCCCAAAATACTTCCCCAAAACCTTGCACCCCACTTCCTGGACAAGGTTTGGTAAAAAGCCTCACCAATTTGCCTAGGTGACTACAGACCCAGACCCTTGGATCTTAAGAACAATGAACAATCCTCCCAACACTTGCACCCCCCCTTTCCTGGGAAATGTTGGATAAAAAGCCTCACCAATTTGCATAGGTGACCACAGACCCAAACCCTTGGATCTGAGAACAATGAAAAAGCATTCAGTTTTTACAAGAAGACTTTTAATAAAAAATAGAAGTAAATAGAAATAAAGAAATCCCCCCTGTAAAATCAGGATGGTAGATATCTTACAGGGTAATTAGATTCAAAAACATAGAGAACCCCTCTAGGCAAAACCTTAAGTTACAAAAAAAGTACACAGACAGAAATAGTTATTCTATTCAGCACAATTCTTTTCTCAGCCATTTAAAGAAATCATAATCTAACACATACCTAGCTAGATTACTTACTAAAAGTTCTAAGACTCCATTCCTGTTCTGTCCCT